AAGTACAAACTCCCAAGGGAAAGAGCATCATAGTGTCTGTGCTAGGGTGGAGAGAGTGAGGGCGTGAGTGGGACAGTAGCAGCAGATAAGATTGGGAAGGGAGAGGCTAGTTGGGCATCAGAAAGATTAGGTCAGATAGCACTTGGGTAGGCATTGCCTTACAGGCATGGCAAAGGTTTTGGCTTTCACTCTAAGTGAGAAAGAGAGGCATTCGAGTGCTCTGAGAGGAGTCAAGTGACGTGACTTGACTCCTAGTGTGATTATTCTGTGGTTTACTTGACTGAATTGCCAGTCCTCTGAGAATAAGGGCTATAGACACTACAGTTCCTGACATAGACTAGGTCCAACTGGCAAAATGGCTCCAGAGAGTGTCTAATAGACGTGTGCTTCAGAGATCCAAAACAATGGTTGTTTTGTCTTGGAAGCACTTCAAGGATGTCTTTCATCCAGTGTAGATCAGTTCTCAGTAGGTTCATCATGACGAATTGAAATTTGCCATTTAGAGAACCTTTTTGTTAGTCTTTCTGTGCTTTTTTGTGTTAACTGTGGGAGTTATTGCCTCTTTCTATTTCTCCATTTAGGCTGGTAAGAAAATTATGGAGTTGCTTTTCCTGGAATCATAAGAATAGCATTTGTGTGTATTAGTCATGAGTCTAGCTGGATTTATGGATTCTACAGCACATAAAAATGAAAGAAGAGCCAGTTTGGGCTAGTTTAGTTGCTGCAATGACAATCTTATAGGAGTTCACTTTAACAGACTCTTCTAACTTAATTCACCTAATTTCCTTTGTTTTTGTTTAGACACAAACTTAGCCAATTAGATTTGCCAGAATTAGAGAACAAAAGTCTACTTGAAGTTTGAAGATATCAGGTGGCTATGTGCAAGGATGCAATGTAGATTAGAAACCAATAAAAGATTGTTTCTTCTAAAGCCTCTCTTTTCGTCTGGAGGTAGAAGCTCAAGGTTGAACAGATGTCTCTAAAATGGCAGACCGAGGAAAATCTATCTTTAGGTGGGTGGCACAATGTTTAAATGGAATGAGTTCTAGTTGAGTGCACATGAATCACCTAAGGGTTTTGTTAGAACTCGGATTATGATTTGGTAGGTCTGGGTAGGGCCTGAGATCTGGCACTCCTAACAGGTTCTCAAGTGACACTGATGGTGCTGGTTTACATAGCCCATTCTGAGTGGCAAGGCGCTAAAAGACATCTTCTTATTTGGATAGATCCGTTAGTTGACACTGTGTTGCAATTTAGACTTCAACAAATGTAGATTACATAACCATTTGACATCAGTAATGGGTATTAGGAAGAGCAGAGAAGAAGTTAACTAATATTCCAGGAGAGTCTTGTGTGTACCAGCAACAGCACCAGTTGCTTTACTTAGGCTATTTTATGGATGTTCTAAAAGGCACCTTGGGACACTTGTTTGGGTGATGGATTTGAATATGCAGAAACAAGGCTTATGTAAAAACTCTATATGGTATGATACCTGAGAGAACAGAAATGTAAATAATAAAATGTGCCATTACTCATTATTAAAAGACCTAATCATGGACAATTATAATCCTTTAGCAGAACATCCAGACAGGTTGAACAGCTTTTTCAAGGTAATACAGTCTATTAACACTATTGCGAAAATTAAAATCTGTATCCTTGATGCTTTCCTCCCAGCAACATCATGCTGTTTTTTTGCGAGTGTATTTTTAACCAAGTCCAAAGAGAGACATCAGTACAAATTTTGATGTCTTGGCCATGCAAACCACAGAGTCCTTTACAAGGTAGGATGTGGTGTAGGGTGCATATGTGTATGTGTGTAGGTGAATGGAAGATGTATGGATGTGTATATTGAATAGGAAAACATCACGTCCTGTGGTGTTTTAGGAGTGCTCTTTTGGCAGGAACATTTATGCCATGCTTAAGGAAAGAAAAACTGGATTTTGTAAGACTAGTAAAAAAAGGGTAAAATGATACCAAATGAAGTAACAATGGCCAACATCAAGGATGTGGCAATGCACAGTAGAAATATAACAGAAGCAATGAATTTAAAAAGAATCAAAAATATAAAAATACTGGAGCTTTGTTATTGATTGGACAGAGGAAATTATAGAGGTAAGTATTTAAAAATGATTTTAAATTTCTGTCTATGCTGTTTGTCTCTGCGGTAGGCATAGGAGTAGTTAAAATCATGGGCTTGATTAGATTGGAACTGGATTTAAATGTTGACTTCTTCATATATTAACTGCATGACTTTGGTGTGTGACTTCTTCTCTCTAAGCCTCTCATAGGGTTGTTTATAGGGTATCGAGGAGATAATCTATCTAAAATATAGAATATAGAGCCTGATCACATATAGATAAGACATAGAAGCTGGATCTACAGGAGAATGATAGTGTCATTATCTGCAGTGAGTCTCCAAGGATTTTGAAGTTGATTTCAAAGCATGTGAAACGGTATGAGCAAGGTGCAGAGGCTGCCACAATCATGATTTGTCCCTGTACCATGGTTTATGGAGAGTGCATGAGGTTCAGAATTGGACCACCAGTGTTTGATTTCCAGTTTGACCATACTGACTAAATACTGAGAGATATTTAGGTGTGGAGGTTATGGTTAAAGTTCATAGAATGGGAAATATGAACATTGTCAAAGGCAAACTATGCCTAGTCTTCTTTTGTTTAGAGTTGGCTTCCATGTCTATAAAATACTCTTGAGTGACAACAAGTGAAGGTGCAGAAAAAATGGGACTGGAGGAAGAGGTGATAAATAGAGTGTGAGAATCAGGGCAACTGTACCAAGGCCAACTAGGTGAACTAGAATGAGGAAGACTCAAGAGACTTCAGGTAGACCAAGCCTACGGACAAAAACCAAGAAAAGAGCATGCGGGACATCTGATAGAGTAGAGGAAATAGGGAAAGAATTATTGTCAAATTATCAGACAACCATCAAATTCAGGAAATTCATAGGAACTAAGGAGCATAAAGGCCGTAACAAAAACAAACATGAAACATCAGTAACAAATTCTGATACTGAATATCCAGAAGAGTCTCTTTGCTGGTCTCTCTCAAGACAGAAGATCTGAGTGAAAGTCTCCAGGCGAGGATAACCCAAATCATCAGCCTGCTAGCAATACAAGGGTCAGGTAATCCTGTTGCTCTGCCAGAGGGATTCTCTTAGAATATCAAGTGCTCTGGGTCAGATTTCTCCTCTCTGCTTTCATCTTTTTGCATACTGCCACCAAACTTAGCTTCTAAAGCTCCATGTTGGTTTTAGAACCTGGTAGGCCCTGAGTACTAGAGTTGTTGTATTGATTTCCTACCACACAAAGGAGCAGGAGAGAAGGAGAAGGTACAGGAGTTGGAGAAGGAAAGGGAAATGAAACAGAAAATCAAGTGGAAAAGAGAGACAGGAAATCTGGACAACTTAGGATCATGACCCAAATGTCAGGCATCTCCCTTATTATAGGTGGTTGTAGAAATCAGTAGCTGCCTACGCTTTGTTCTTGTGTTGAGTTTACTGGAGGGATACTGCTCTCATAGGTATACTCAACTGTGCAACTTCATGCATAATTGGATGTCACTTGCTCATTTTTCCCTCTTGAGAGAAATCAGTGTTTCTTAAGTGGGAGATATTTCTTAGCATGGGAAAGATAGAGACTTTTCTCACTCTGTACTTCCCCAGTTGGCATAAATATGAAAGACAACTGGGAAAATATCGATTGAAAAAAGTATTGCAGAGTGGCATTTATTCAAGCCTCAAAATATATCAGGTGGTTTATAGAGCAGAGAGATAGATGTAGTCCCTTAAGGCTTAAGTTGTGAGTATCAGCATTTACTGAGGAGAGCTAATATACTATTTTCTGAAAGGAAATGGGGTTGAGAAGAATGATTACGGCAAAATGCTTAACCAGGAAAAGTGTCACAACTTTTTATTGAATTCTTGTTTGGGATGTTTTTGTAAACTTATCAGTCATTTTGTGACATTTTACAGTGTAAGAAGATTTTGGTGTTTGTGAAACATCACTCTGAAATTGCCCCAAAGTAGATTTCTCTCTCTCTTTCTTTCTCATCAAGCTGACATTGGGTACAAGTTTATGAGTCTTGAATGACTAGTCTATTAGCTAAAACTCTTTTGGTTGCAAGTTACAGAAGTTGTAAATTTTAAAAAGCAGGAAATCCTGTGTAAAAGGAAAGGAAAATCTCAGGGGGCCTTCGGGACAAGAAATTCAGCGGGGCCCCAAGGAATGTTTTAGAATTCCATTCTGGAAAGCCCCCGAGTGTCTCTCCTCCATAGGCTCCCCATGCACTTCGCTCTTTCTTGATCTCATCTGATCTGCTTTTTATGGCAGATTGAGGCTTTCCCATAGCCCGTAAATTGACATGTTATAATTTCAATCTTCCCAAGTAATTGCAGAGTGGTCTGAATTACTATTCCACATTCTTGGAAGAGAAAATCTGGTTCTACCTCCCTACCCTCTTAGGTCAGAAGGCCATCCCCGGTTTCATCAGACATAGTTTGAACATGGCTTCTGGGGCCTACCTCTGTGGATGTTGGGACATGGGGGTTGGTTTACAGAAAAATAAATTCTTAAAGGCTTGGTGGATTGTGCCAAATTCATCTCTCCTACCATGCCCAGAATGAGAAAGCTGCCTGCCATTAACGACACTCTCCATAAATATTTGTCAAATGGAATATTTATTAACTGAATGCACCGGTGAGGATATAGGAACACATTTGGCTAGATAAATGAGGAAGGTTTTTGCATTTTGAACATCTTGATGGTAGATCTTTATGAGTTAATTGCTGTAAGTTAACTTTAAAGTTATATTAGTGAAAATCATTTGATTTCTAGGCTGCTTTTATGTATTGGTAAAATAATTTTAAAATTTAAAAAATTATAAATTCTTGTGAGAACATTTGAATGACTTAACAGTACACATATTCACTCATTTTAATGGTGTTTATTTCTTTATTTTTAAAAAATTTATTTAATGCTCATGAAGACTAAGCCTGGAGTAATTCGCCCAGTACCTGTAAAATCCAAAATATTACTGAGAAAAGAGGAGGAAGTCTATGAGCCCAACCCTTTCAGTAAATACCTGGAAGATAATAGTGACTTCTTTTCTGAACAGGTGAGCATAAATAAGAGAAAATCTTTGATACTTTGATAAATAACTATATAAAATATGGAGATGCCTCTATGAATATAGTATGTACAAGAAAATGTTTATTTGATTGGAGTGTCCTTAGTAAGAAGAAAAGGTCCAGTTTTTGCATAATAAAAAGAAATTTGTATATTCCCAGGATGATATTTTGTTTGAAGTATTTCAAATTAAAAAAAAATTTTTTTTTCTACCTTATGCTGGTAATGTTTTGGGAACCAAGACACTACTCTCCATAAAGAAAGATACCATGCAGTCAGTCATTGGTTGTATGGGTCATACAGGTGTTGATTATTATTTCTAAATTCCTGCTTTACTTTGAAGAGATGAAATATTTTAGATTTGATATATTAGCACATTTAGCAAAATATCTATTGTATGGCTGCATAGTAACATAGTAGAGATGATACGAACCCCTAGATTGAGCAGGAAAAGGGTATAGGGGCTTAAGATATTTAAGGCTTGGTTGGTCATTTGTTTTATATGTAAAAAAGGTATACTATCTTCCCCTTATGTATCCTATATGTTGGAGGGAGTATAATGGGAAGTTGTGGATGGTGCTTTATAAGCTATATGGGAAACATGAAAATACACATTTATGGAATATAAAAGTCCATAAATTATTTCAGAGAGAAACTTTGCTTTGCCCTATTAAGATGCAGCAAATAGGTATGGGTTATATATTTTATATCTCAAATACTATTAGATGGATAAACAATGTAAGCAATCCAGAAACCTTTCTGAATGCAACCAAGGCAGGTAAAATCACCACCCTTGGTGATCTATAATAAAATACACTTATGAAGGAATATAAGATGATATACTCCTTGTAAATTTTACTTTGAAAACAACTAAGACTATTCTTGAAACAGTAAATTACACTTACATTTGTGAATCATAAGGAATATCTTATCTGCCACATATTAGCTCTATAACATCTTTATTTTCATCATTTATAAAATGAGGTGTTCAGATCAGGTACTTTTTAAGGATCCTTCCAATTCAAAAATCTGTGTTCCTTAAAATCTAAGATTAACCCTGATTAGGTCAGAAGTCACTGTGTAGCCTTGAAGATGTTTATCATAAATACTTTCTCATGATTTGTTATAGTTTTTATCTATAAAATGGAGATGATATGATTTTGATAAGTTAAAAAATTTTAGAAGGCACTATCATTGAATATGATAATTAGAGGCAATTATTTTCATTTTATAGGATAAAATATCCTCAATTTAAATTAAATAGAGAAATCATATTCATTTATAGGACTGTCTTCACTAATTCCACATGCAATAGAAATGAAAATTCCTCTTCAGAAAGCATATTTTCATCATCAACAAAAAGCACTTTTTAAATTTCTACTGCTTGTGTGACACAAATATTTTAGAGGCTTACTATGACATTTTAGACTGTATGGGATCATTATAAAAATAATTATAAAAATAATATAGTCAAATGACAAAAATGCCAACAGCTAAAATAGACTTCACATACTATCTATGTAACTTACGTTCTTCAAAATATGATCTAATACTGTAAAATAATGACTTTGTTCTTTTACATTAATATAATTTCAAATGTATGTATTTTACCTTAAATAAAATTCATTGTAGAATATGAAGGTAGATTTATCACAATTAACTGTCCTCGGAAATGATAAATTCCATTTTCAAGTTTAGGAAATTCTTGTCATTAAAAGGAGCTGCCATTTCTTTTCCCTGCTTTTCCTGACTAACAGCAAGTTTAAAGCTCTATTTATGTTCAACATAAACCTATGAATTTCCAGATAATTTGTGGAAAATTTGAACTCTTTTGCAAATATGGAGGTGCCATAGACACAATTGTACTTATATTGTTTTTTCAATCAATTTATTCTTGTTTATATCTCACCTTTTATGTGGAACATGGGAAGTAAAAGGAGTCTGCAGACTGTCAGAACTGAAAGAAGTAGGGCATACTACTTAAAAGTGAATTCCAAACGTTCCCTGGTCTTCCTCATTAACCTTGCATGAGAGGGACAATATAATAGAAACTTGGGGTCACTGCTCATGGGACAACTACATGTACTATTAACTAGTCTCTTTATGTTGAGTTCTAACTATCATCTCAGGGTGTCCAGAATCTGCCAGGGAGAAAGACATCAAAGACACCTCGCCAGGGTAGTTGCTTAGATCTATTTAAAATATAAATTGAGTAATAACAGTTTATAATCTCAGTGTTGCTACTTCATCAGAACTTGAATAGAAGAGAGCGTACTCAAGTTCACCAGTCACTATTGTAGTCTCCTTTGCTGCTGCCACAGAATAAATTGAATGGTTCCAAACTCAGTTGATCTCACCCACCCATGTAATGGAAAATTCTTTAGCCAGATATTTGGGCCAAATTGAAGCAGCTCACATTCACTAATCTGCCTTGTATTGGGGACAGTTCCACATGACAGGAGATGTTGGATGGGATTGTTAAGTCAATACATTTCCCCTAACAGTTTCACTGCCATAAAATATGATTTCAAAACTCTCTGTTACAAAATGTCAGACACTGAAGATGTTGAGAACAGACGGAAATGTATTTACTGTAGCTTAAGATACAAGCAGGCAGCCTTGTGAACTGATAATGAACTGAAAATTTGCCTGGAGACAGTCTCTGAGTACTAAAGCAAAGTTTGAAACTAAATGCATAATCAGGTAATTGAGACTTATTAATCAACAGCTTTTACATCAAAATGGCATAGGCCAGGAAGCATCCATCTATATTAGATGGATTTTGTAACAGAGACTCTTCAGAATGAAGCTTATGCTTTTTTGAAATTACCTTTAAATCCATTATTGTATCAATTTGTGGTCCTGTTGACTTATTGCAAAATATCCTCACACTCCACATTTGGATTTAAAAGTATGGTGATATACTTTGAAGCATCCCCTATTGATGATGAAGATCAGAGTTGGAAAGTAATTAACAGAATTGATTGGACAAATGGGCATTCAGAAGACACTGAGGCTTAGAAAATCAATTCACTGATGAGAATGAAGATACTTAAAAGAGCCCACTGATTTTTAGTTTGTCTGACTACTTGTGAGTTGGCAAAATACATTGATTGTTTTCTGGTCAGTTAGTATATCTAATTAGATAAAGGTGATTTCTTCACTCAAGATCCTCAGTTTAATCAAAAAAGCAATTGCTAACCTCAGTTATATAAAATGTTACATAAAACATTCTCTCTCTTTATAAATTAGTAATTGAACCCATAATATTAAATATGTCATTTTCTTCTGAAAGCCTTAGAGAAATGTATAAAAAGAAAGGATTTGGACAGAATTTAAGAGGAAATATTGTTATTTCATCTGATTTTCCTGGAAAAATTTTTTTTTAGTGTGAAATAACACTTCCTAGCACGTATGCCTCTTGAATTTTATTTTCCTTCTAAATTTGCTTCAGTAGGCAAAGAACATGTTTTGTGTGACAATGACCATTTAGTGAATTTCCTCCACACCACAGAGAACATAAAATGATAACTATGGGGAATTTTCTTCTTTTGTAGTATTTTCAGTTTTTCTTTTCCTCTGATTTTTCTGAGATATCTGACTTCCCTGCCAAACTTTCTGTTTGACATTCAGCTCTGATGATTACATGGGTGACTTTCAGATTTCTATCTAATTATTCATCAAGTTAGATTTCTACTGCAACGCTCATCTTCACTTCCTTGTGTCATGCACATGTTCCTATTCTAGAGCAAGTACTCACCTTTGTCAAAGGTGAAGCTGACAATACTGCCTTTTATTCCGAATGACTTCTGGCTTTGCCATAAATTGCTACTTTTTCAACAGTTGTTTCTCAATCAAGTCGGTTCATTCTCTTTTGTCATAAAATTATCTTTTATCATTGCTAAACTTTTGTTAAGAAATATTTTTCAGCTTAAAATGTTTAACCTTTTTAGGTCTAGAAGTGATTAAGTGGTTTTCCTGAATTGTTTTAAGGGGAGAGAACTGAAATGCCTTGTGTTACATTTCTTATGTTTTGCCAGGTTATTTTTGTTTATTTGCGTAACGAAATCTTTGTGAGTTTTTTTTTCTTTTTTCCTTTGGTCTTCCTCCCTACTTTCCCCCTTCCTTTCTTATTTCCTTCCCTCCCTCCCTCCCTCTTTTCCTCCCTCTAAATGTAATAGACAATTGATCATAAACAGGTACTATACCACATGTAATAGTTGATCAACATAATAAACTGTTTTTTTCTTTTTTCTTTTTTTGAAATTGTCCTGTAGAGACAATATTTGCTTTTTCTCTAGAATATAATCAAATAAGATCACCTTTCAAACTTAAGATTTCATCTCTCCCTCTCTTTTTATTTTTTATTTTTTGGCTTAAGCTTTCCCTTGACCTTGTGTAATTATTGAGGTTGAAAGATTGGAACTGGAACTACAGTACAGGGTTTTAATTTTCTGTGGCAGTTGTCTTCAAGCTATGGGAAACTTAGTTTCTTGTCCCCTTTTCCTTGCCTTACATAGGGTTGAAGTATTTAAGAGATTCTTGCTTGCTTTAAAACAAGCAAACAAACATACAAAGAAGACCCATTGCCACTTGGATCGTAATAGATAGAATTATTCTAATAATTCTAATAATTAGTTAAGCAACTGAATTCTAGTAATTAGCCAAGCTCTGAAGCATTAGTTGCTTAACAAATATTGGTAGATATGCAGTATCTTCCTGTACCCTTATCTATGGGGAAACAATGACAATCTGAACGTTTTATGCAAATGTGTTCTTCAATGTTTTGTTAGCTCATGATGTCCCTATCTATCTCTATTTAAGAGGAATGGCACTGCCATATTTAGAAGCTCTCATGTAAATATGCTCCAGTTTTAAGATACGGTCTTGTTAAAATTAAATACTGTATATTAGTTTCTTCTGAGAAGTATTAAACAATAGACTGTCAAAAGAGAGAAGGTAGCTGTGTAAAAATATTTTAAGTAATAC